ATTTATATACAGTATATTGTTTTTATTATATTAAATTAAATAACTATAAAAATTATTATAATAATAACACACTATTTTTTATGACTTTTAATTATGACATTTTTGATTTTATAGATTCAGTCGATATGTTGTCCACATGTAGTGTCCAATCGGTGTCCATTTGGCCGACTTTGGCCCGAATTTCTGACGGAACTCTCGATTGCTATACAATTGAATTGAATTAATTAATCATTTTTTATATGTCTATTATTATCAAAAATATATATTACAAACAACTTATTAGTTATATTCATACAGTTTTGTCCAATTTGTTGTCATCGCTAGGTTTTGGCGATTCATAAACTTTATACATTATATAGATAATTGCAATCAATATAATCACAACAATAATGCTGACAATTGTGATGATATAAAACAATAAATATGACGATCTGTTAGCACCTGATTCAGTATCGGGTGAACGGGTATTGTTGTTGTTGTTGTCGACTACTAGTGTTGTTGTTATTGTTGTATCACTGGATGTACTAATGGATGTGCCGTTTGACCTAACAATTGATGTATCATCGGATGTATCACTACTAGTCGTCCAATTAGTAGCTGATTCAGTACTGAATGTATTACTGGTTGGTCTTTCACTACTAGTTATATCATTGATTGTACTATTGGTTATACCATTGGTTGTATCACTAGTTGTTGTATTGATTGATGTGATGATACTATTAATAATTGTTGTACTACTACTAGTAGTAGATGTTGGTGTCGATAGGGATGTGCTGATAGTGCTAGCAGTGGTAGTATTGGAGACAGTAGTAGTAGTAGTGGTGGTGGTGATGGCATTGGATGGCCATATGTTTGTACATTCAGGGGCTAACTTTTTTATATCAGTAGACCATTTACACTACAGAATATCATTAAAATACATAATGTAATGATTACCTTAAAAGTATTGTTTATTTTTTATTTTATCATAACATTAGTATTATATACAATCAGTAGACACATATCAGGTATTAGACATACCTCTCGGGACAGTTCAGTCAAAGTGGCAAAACAGTAATAAGGCTTAGATTTTTTGGTAAAAAATATTACATAACCCTGACGTTTGAGACCGTAATCAAAGTCGACAATAGCGGTGACTAACCTAAACATGCCTACACTGAGTGTTTGAAATACTACCGGCAATCGACATCCCTGTGATCCGCATTGATCGTAGACGACTACCCGACCGTCGTTGCTGTCAATATAGTAATACTTACTGTTAGTATCGTTGACGACGTCTTTTCTATTGACAATTATCGTATAGCGGGTGTGGTAACCGGGAAATGGACTAAATATTAGTGAATCGGCCGGGAATTGGGCGTCTATTATGGTCTGTTTGGAGGGTGGGCTTAGACAATGGGTAACAACTGTCTTGTTTTGTTTGTCCTGATAAGTATAACAACAAAGATAATATGGGAGGGATAGGAGGAGGGGGGGGGTTAATAATCAAGTACTGTATGCAATTTGTATACTATGAGCACAGCAAACATAGATTTATTATACCTTATAGTAAACCATACAATAGTATGACTCAAAAAATGTTTGTCCCGATCCCCAAATTATCCGTTTGGTTGTAAACCGATTGACAATACTTGTGCTGACACTATTGACTACACTGTTAGCAACCAATTCAATATCAATCGGCCGGTTAGTGTTATCAAAGTTCAGCCTAAACTGCCATTCCTTTTCCCGGTTCCACATCCAATAGCTGTCATTGTATTGTATATCCATATGCCAGGTCTGAAACCATCGACGATAGGCACCGATAGGTTGATATTTGCCATTGGGTGCCAATGCCTTACATAAGTCACTATCAGCTGATGATGATGAGGACAATTGGTTTATCGACAGTAATATCGATATAATCATCAATAAAAATGTTAAAACAATTATTAGTTTCATAGTTTTCAAGTTATAGGTAATTGTTTTTTTTTAATTAGGTCTCAACAAACTAATTGCAATCAAATATATTTTAAATGTTTATATCAGTTAATATAAGTAACGGTCATTATAATAAATATATATATATATTTAAATTTATTTAAAGTTATAATTAATAGTACGTGCATGATTGCACGTGCATATAGTTTTTAAAAGCAGATATTAATTAATTATTTTATTGTAATTAAATAAATTTAAAATTTAATATTATTAAGTAATTTATTAACTTTATTAGCATTTTGTTATAACTATTTATTATTTACAACTAATATACTGTTTATATACTGTATATTTTCTATAATAAAAAAAATATATTATAATAATAAACATTAGTTTTATAGTATATTTTATAGATATTATAGTTTTTTTTATATTAATTTAGTCCATATCATTAAAGTACATTAAAGTTAAAATAATTTAATAAATACTATATATATATATATATATAAATTTATATTTGTGTTAAAATTATGACACTTTTTGATTTATTTATAAACAAACAAACAAAAAATTGCCAAAAATAATAATAGTAATAAAATTTATTGACTAATAAAAAAAATTACAATATTCTCTCGATAATTAAAAAAAAATAGTACAAACAAAATAATACAATTAAAAAACAATTAAAAATATTTATAATAACTAAATATTTAATAATAAACTATTTTATATGAATTAATAATTTTTGTTGTTTAGCAGTATTTTTTGGATTATTATTATTATTATTGTTAACAACATCTGTACCCATAATAGTTGACGACTGACTGTCCGATTGACTATTAGTATTGCTATCGACGACAATAGCATTAGAGTCTTGTTGTTGTTTGGCTGAAACGGTAGATATTGGACTAACAGGTAGTTCCCAATCGGTATCCATTTTGCCGACTTTGGCCCGAAGTTCTGGTGCCAGACCTTCCCTTTCCTATTCAGACAACAAACATAATTAAATAATTTTTTTAAAAAAAATTTAAATAAAATTATAATTAATCGGACATTTTTATCGGGTGTTTTCAAGTTAGCCTTATTTTTAACATTCAGACATGATATGGTGGCTATAACGGTGCTGAATAGGATAAGCAATACAATGATGGCAATCAATATGTAAATCCAGGCAACGTTTGGTTCATCAGTGTCTGTCATATATGTTGTTGATTGTCCTGTAGTAGTAGTAATAGTTGTCTCAATATCAACTGACACAATAGACGACTGTCCACTGGTCATAGTTGATGGTGTTGTAGGCTTAGACCAAATGTTTTGACATTCAATGCCATACTTTTTCATTTGGGTTTTACACTAATATATTCATTGATTTATTAAGTGAAATACAAAAAGTTATTTTTTTCGAAAAACAATACAATATATTATAAAAAAAGTATAGATTTTTTTTTGGAAATACCTTTTTAGACATTGGTTTACCAAACCGTGTCCAACAATAGTACGGTTTAGAGTTGATATTGAAAAACAATATATAACCACTGCGTCGTTGACCATAATTATAGTCAACAATACCGTCGATGACTGACCACAATTCCGGATCAATTCCGCTAATAAAATCCGGTTGTTTACAGCCTATGTCCTTACAGTGTTCAGCGGTGTCATACATATGGTCAGCGATTACATAGTAGTAGCGGATATCGGTTTTATCGGTTCTGTTAACCAAATAGACATAAGTACTGCCAGATGTCGGTTCCGGACTAAATATCAGGACGTCCTGAACTGGATATTGTTGGTTATGTGTTGTCCCAGTTATGTTGACATCAATACATTTTGATTGGATGGTCTTATTTTTATTGTCCTGAGAGAGAGAGAGAGAGTTAGCGAAAGAGAGAGAGAGAGAGTTAGCGAAAGAGAGAGAGAGAGAGTTAGAGAGAGAGAGAGTTAGCGAAAGAGAGAGAGAGAGAGTTAGAGAAAGAGAGAGAAAGAGAGAGAAAGAGAGAGAAGAGAGAGAAGAGAGAGAAAGAGAGAGAAAGAGAGAGAAAGAGAGAGAGAGAAAGAGAGAGAAAGAGAGAGAAAGAGAGAGAAAGAGAGAGAAAGAGAGAGAAAGAGAGAGAAAGAGAGAGAAAGAGAGAGAAAGACATATATATATCAGTTATGTTATACACTTACAGTGTATTTAGTAATACAATTATACGAGTTATACAACTTTTCTTTGAAATCGATATCTTTAGGACTAAACCATTTGACTATCCAATTAGGATACATATCCGTCTTATTCATCCATAACTGGACAATCGGTTCATTGTTATCGGTCACAAATGTTATGTTAAAATAAACTTTCCGACCGTTTGAATACATAGTATAGATGTCATAGTATTCATCGGCATAGACTGTCTCCAGTGCCCATTGATGGTTGACACTGATACCAGTGAACTGGCCATTGGGTGCCAGTATATCGCACGGATTGGTTTTTTGTTGACAGCGATAACAGCACCAGTATATCGATAAATGCAGAATAATATATAAGAAAATCATTTTTTTCAGTTTCAATAATAATAACAACAACAAAAATTATTAATAAATAACTGATAGTCTCTAATGATATATAGACTATTAAATTGTAAAATAAAAATAAATGTTAGCCAAAAAAAAACTGTTAGCAATGAAATAAAAAGTTTAGTTTAAATTTTTGTATTAAAATCTATATTTGTGTGTGTGTGTGTGTGTGTGTGTGTGTGTGTGTGTGTGTGTGTGTGTGTGTGTATGTGTCTGTGTGTGTGTGTATATTATATACACGCGCTATTGTTTCAATCAATTTTTAATTATATATCACGTGCTATTATACAGTAATTATATAAATTTATAACTAAATATACATGTATTATATAATAATAAGTTCATAACAAAACAAAAAAAATACATTTAAAACTAAGATTAATAATACAATTATATATTTTATTAAAAAATACATTAAATTATTTCTAATTGTTTTGCTTGTGATAATTATATATATATAATTTTATATATATAAAAAAATTAATAATATTTGAAAGTTAAATATCTGTAAAGTTTTATACAGCAATAGTGTTTGTTTTAATTAGTTTCAATGATGTCAACAATTTTTATTCATATACGACAACAACACCAACAACTACTGGCCATCAATTGGTTTGCCATTAATAAGTGGTGGTCTAAACATCGGATACTAAATAATAGATTAAGAAATTGTTGGCAAATGTCGTTAACTGTAAATACTAACAGTGCTATTGACTGCAAACCAATCATCAGTGGTAATAGTGGTAGTAGTAGTCAACTGATGATGAGATGCGCTTTTATGATACCATCGGATAATATACCGCCGACACCGACACCAATATCGACAGTAACATTGGATCAGTTAGTTAAGACATATCAGCCAATGAGTGTAGTATTAGTAAATCAAGGCTATAACCTTAAATCATTGGGAACTGGATGTGTGATCGACACAAACAAAGTGGTTACCAATGTTCACGTTTGCGAAGACATTACAGAATTGTATGTAATGTTAATCAAACCAAACGGACAGAAATTGGCTAATTTCAGGGGTCGGGTGCTGTACTGCGAACCGCAATACGATTTGGCCGTAATTGGCGTACGATTTAAGAATAATCGACAACACCTGTACGGACAGTTTGAATTGATGGCACCAGACGATGGCAATCAGGAACTGGCGGTCGATTTTGGCGAACAAATACTATCGTTAGGACATCCCAATGGCAAACCATCGACAACTGTTGGCATTGTTTGTTGCGTCAATCGGCCGTTTGGATTAGATTCCCGTTGGTGTGCGGCTAATGTTCCGCAAATACAACACAACAGCGGTATTGTTAGCGGCTTTTCCGGCGGACCGATGATCGACGAAACGGGACGTTTGGTCGCCATTAATAGTAGCGGACATCAGACTTATAGGGTTTGCTATTCAACACCCGTTACCATAATGAATGGTTTGTCTGTTTTTTTTATTGTTGTTATAAATAATAATAATTAATTGATTTTTTAATGTGAATTTTTTTTCATAAATATATTGAATATTTAATTTGTATTTAATTACTAATTTATAACTAATTTTATTTGAATCTATACTCTTGTCTAGAATTTTTAAAACGAGCAGAAAATTTTCAGGTAATTAAAAATATTTAAAACTAAAACTAAAAAAATTTAGTAAATTTTTTGTTTGTTTGCTTTTTTTTGTGTGATTAATAACAATATATAGGATATACAGACAGATTATCGAAATAATAATATCAATATAAAACATATGATCAAAACTAACTGTGAATTTAGCTGTAAGTTAGTGTTGGGGATAGAGATCTGTTGGTATCGTATATATAATTATAGACAATACGTAAAAATGGCCGAAAATCAGGGCAAACGGTTCATACGTGATATGGATTTGATACCATATGATAGTTGTATACTAGTCTGGGATATCGTCAACAAACCAATGGATGACAATGTTATGGATGAGTTGTTAGTTATTTTTTTAAGCAAACAAATTATAACTATTAAATATTATATATTGTTGTTGTTGTTGTAATATTTAGTAAAACACTTTTGCAATTTGATATAATCAATGAAATCAATGGCACAAGAGTTAGATGTTTAAATGATTTACACAAAACAATTGAAACAATGGGTATGAATGACATTAAATTGAATATCTTTAGGATTGACCATCCGATGGATATTATTGTAAATCCACAACAATTTATTGGATCAATAAGTTATGCTTAATATATGATGTCATATAAGATGAATACAATGGGTAGACATAACCTGTGCTATGCTATGAATATTATTTAATAATTATATAATTATATAATTTATTCAAATTTTGTTAATTATATATTATTTTAAACATTTTTTTTTTGCTGAATCTTATTTAAAAAAGTATTATATATTGAAAAAAAATTTGATAATTAAATTTAATAAACTAATTATTATTTAATTAATATTTACACCAATTACTTAACATTTTTTTTTGGTTCACTTAATTTTTTTTATAAACATTAATATTAAATTAATAAATATTTTTGATTTTGTTTTTGGTTAATGTTTTAGGGTATCGCTAATTAGTAGTAGTAATATTTTACTTATTTGCAAAATGTTAATATTATGAAATACATATACACACAAACACATACACATACACATATACACACACAAACACACACACACACAAACACACACACATACAATCTTACACATACATTCACACACACACATACATACCGGTACACACACACACACACAAACTTACACATACATACACACCACTGGTTGTCATACTTGTGTGGGTTTTTTAAAAGACCGAAAACCATGAGAACCAACTGTCCTGTAAATATCGACATCCGTCCAATGATTATGAGACACCACTGTTCAAACATGATATAGACGCGGCTAATAGTCTTATATTCAATACCAATGACTACAATGAATATGCTATTGTTGTGGACAGATATAACAAATCGCTGGTCAAGTATATACAGTTAAAGCTAATGTCTAAAAATATCATAGTTTATGATTACGATGAATGCAATAATTTCCAGTTTGACTCGTGTAAGCGGCCGGAAATTATCGACGACATACCCGATCAACTATGGCCACTGTTAGACGGTATTATCGACTATAATGCCAATGAAATCGGCAAAATAGGTTACATATTGTTTTTCAATGTCAACTCAAAACCCTATTATTGTTTTAAACCGGTTGGCAATAAACAATCAGTAATGAAATTATTTTTTAAAAATTAGTTATTTTATTAAAAAAAAAAAATATTTTTCATTTACATATAATAAGTGCCAATCTATAGATAGTCTCAAACCGTATGCCACTAACTGTTCAAACATTTGGCAAAATGTTAGGACAACAACAACAACAACAACAATATCGTTGACTACCAGTGCCGACACTACGACCACTACAGATAAAACACTAGTTTTTCATACAAAAACCTATATATTTATTGCGATATAAATTTTGTTATCAATTGGTATTTATTGTTGTTACCGTTGATATCATACGAATGTATTGCCAAAGAAAATATTACCAAAAAAAACGGACGACAAAACTGTATGTAATTTTTATGTCAGTAAATGCAATTGAAATAATTGTTTTAATTATTATTTTTTGTTTTGTTTATACAGAGATCGGGTATTTCATAGCAAACATATCAAGTGATTGATTGATCATTAAAATCAATACAATAATAACAACAACAGTATTATCAACTAATTTGATGATAAATCACTATATAATCACAAAATACTACAGTATATCAACTAATATAATATATCATATATAATATAAATGTTTATTTAATATATAAAACTTTATATACTATGTATTAGTTATTTTTAGGTATTTATTTATTATCCTATTTATCTTATAATATAATTTTTGCTTAGTTTTGCTTGGTTTTAACTAAATTAAAAAAATATATTTCTGATTAAATTAATATATTTTTTGCACACAAGTATTAAAACAAAACTATTTTTATAAAACAATTATTTCTGTTTAATTAAATTTTTTAAAATTAATATTTTAAGACACTATATTATATAAAGTCTATTAGATTATTTAAAATTAGATGATAATAATAAATAAATAAATTATAGATTACATATCAATTGAGAGATAATTTGAGTTTTTATAATTAATTTACATTATATGACAATATTCATAGACAATACACGAGATTATCGATAATCTAAACAAAATATATAACAAATAAAATAATTGCAATAAATTCATTGTTTAGTTTGATTTGTAGATTTAAACTGAAAAACAAACACAAAAAAAATTATATTTAAATTTTATGATTATTTTGTAGTTAGCAATAGATTTGATTGTAATTAAACAACTTATTAGAAACTATTCAAAAACTCAGATATTAATTGTTTATTATTAATACAGTATTGTATTTGTTTTTTAATGTATATCTCATTGAAATTGTTTGCTTTAATTGTGTCCATCCATTGGTCGCATTGTCTACGAGATAACAACACTGAACACCAGCCGGTGTGCGATATGTTAGCACCAAATGGACAGTTTGATGGCATCCGAGTCTATCATCAATGGATTGTTAATCAAAAGTCTAATTATTACACAACTTTCTATGCAATGTATAAAAACCGATCGACATTACTGTTTGATGTGTCGTTTCCGGACAATAGTAGTAATGATGAACCAATGGTGACATTATCTGACACTATTAAACCAGAAAATAAAACCAATCTTTTAAATATGTTTGGTTTCAATACATTCAATATAAGTGGAAGTTGTTTTTTATTTGTAAGTACACTATATTTACTATAAATTTACTATAAATATATGATATTTTTTGCTTTCATTGTATATATATTGTAGTATATTATTAAACATTTGTTAAATATCTATATTTTTTTTTTAAAAAAAAAGGATACCAAAACCAAAGGAGATATAATGTATATATGTTTTAGTCGATCCGTTAGTTTTGTAAAAATATTGAACATATCGACTGTCGATACGGTTAACGGTTTTATAATTAATCCGAAAACTGTTGACAATGACATCGGCTATGTTATCGTAGTGGACAGGTATGACAAATCCAGGATCAAGTTTGTCTATATAGATGAAAGCGATAGAAATATCATTGTCTATGATTACGATGAATGTCACCAACAATTTGGTTGTTGGCGTCCGGAGTTTATCGACGACATACCCGACCAAATCTGGCAACACATCGACGGTATTGTCAATTATGGCAAACAAAACCGACATTTGGGTTATATATTGTTTTTCACAATCGACTCAAAACCCTATTACTGTAACGAACCGTCTCATAGAAATCTATCGCTAAATGTTATAAATATTTTATAATAATATTTTTATTTATTTAAATGTTTGTTATTTAAGTATTAATTTTTTTGTTGATAAAATATTTCAGTGCAAATCCGTAGACAATTTCATACCGTATGCCACTAACTGTGCAAACATTTGGTCAAATGATTCAACAACTATAGCAAATACGACATCAGTGTCGACTACCGACGCCAACAACATTACGGTCACTCAAACTACTGCTAAAACAACAACATCTTTGTGGACAACAATCGGAACCACTGGCGACAGGACTACCATCTCTGCCATCACTTCCATCACTGCCATCACTACTACCACTGCCATTACTACCGCTGAAACTCCAACTGACTATAACTGGATATATATCCTATTTATAGTCATATCGATAATCCTAACGATCGATATTATTGTGTTTATTGTTTTGATATTCAATATGTTTTATCGGCGATACTATCGTAAAAAGACATACAAAGTCAACAAATCGTCGCCGAAAAAGAAAAATGAGAAAAATGTATGAAATGTTTATCAAAAAAAATAAATAAAAATCATTTAATTTTGTTATTTATTTATTATTTCCGGAATCTATAGATAAATCAGGATTCAGTTCCGTCGGAAATTCGGGCAAAAGTGGGCAAATCGGACAGCAATTGGTCTCTAAAAGTGTCAGAAATATCCAAATCGGATCAGATATGATGACAACCAACCGATCAGTATTAAAGTAAACATTTGTTTACAAAATGAAATGAAATATTTTGTATATATATATTTAATACATAATTATAATAATTAAAAAATTTTATTATGAATTTTATTTTGGTATTTAAAATTTGCTAATTATATTAATTTTATTTAAAAAAAAAAATTGTTATTAAAATTGGTTTTCGACAATTTGTATTTAATATATATAATATATAATAAATACAATGAAAACTGACAAATAAACAACTATTTTATAGACTTCCTATAAAATTATAAGTATTTTTAAAATATAAATAGCATTTACATTAGAAATTAATATTTATATATTCAATAATTCAATAAAAAAAATCCTATAAACAATAATATTCATAATAAATCATTGTTATTAATGCAAATTATTAATTTAAATAACTAAATAAATATTTTATATTACATATACTTTTCTGTTTATAATAACGATTATATAAGAAATTTAATTCAACTCAAAACAATTGAAATAATAATTGTCTACAAAACATAGCGAAAATAACTGTTACTATGTCTATAACGTTACAATTATTGGTTGCCATTATTGTGTCCATACGTTGGTCGCACCAATCGGTATGCAATATATTGGCACCAAATGGACAGTTTGATGGCATCCGAGTATACCGTATGTGGATTATAGAGAAGCAATCGGCTAATGATTACCAGGATTTATATCTGATGTATAAAAATGGTAATCAAATTGAATTTCAGGTATCGTTTCCAACAAACAGTAGTCGTGAACCAGTGGTAACATTACTGGACAGTAGTAATGTTACAAATGTTATGACTGAAAATATTATCAAATTTTCCGTCAAAATGTCAATCTTAGGCACTTATATTAGTACAGTATGTGATGTATACTATACTAATGAAAGTTTAACTGTAAGTAATGTATGATTCTACTGTATATGTTTGTGTAATATATTAATTGAATGGTTATTATTCAAAAAATAAGGCCATCAAAAACACAACTGTCCAAACCAGATGTATCGATCAGCGTACAAGTCCTCAACAATATCTAATTAATTTACAATACAATATCACTGATGTTATCCTATTTAGTCCCGTTCCCGGACTAATGACATCCTATATTATATCAGTTAACAAACATCGCAAAAATGATGTCATGTTTGTCTATATTTGGGACAATAAGACAATGAGTTTCAATGAATGCAAACAAATGAAGTGTTT